AAGAGATTAAAGGGGGAATTGTGAAAGCAAGGAGACCAAATCAAATAGTCTCTGTGTAAAGTCGTTAGGGCTTAGACTGGGCTGGAGGTGAAAGGTTTAAAAAGATGGCACCAAAATGAGAGCTATGACAAAAGGTAGAATCAACAGGACATAGTACCTATATATGGAGTGAGGGAGAAGAGCAGGGTCAGAGGTACTTTGGAGACTTAGAAAGCAAAAGAAAAAAATGGCATTGGTAATAGGAATAATAAAGATATAAAATAAACTGGCCTGAAGGAGGAAATTGTAATATCTGTTTTGAACACTAAAATTTAATGTGGGGAAACCATATGGAGCTGTCGAGCAGGCAGCCAGAAATATGAGACTTAATGAAAAGGAAAAATCGAGACTAGAGAAAACTGATAATTAGGGAAAAGACAGAAGATGAAACAAAATAAAAAGACACTAGATTGCCAAGTAGGGGGGGAAAGTCAGGACTGTGAACCATCATAGAAACCAAGGGAGGAATTTTAAGGAGATATAATTGATAGTGTCAACTGCAGCAAAGAACTGAGGAGGAGAATGAAAGATAGCATGATGGATTTGGCCAGGAGGTCATTGCTCTCCTCCAGGCGATCCAACAGAGCAAGATGAGAAGAAAGAACACATGGGACCAGGGTAGGCAGCAGGCACCAAACATTCATTAGAGAAGTTCAGAAGGTGATGGACTGGACAGGCAGCTTGAGGGAACAACAAGGCTGGTTTAATTCAAATTGGTGGGAAGACTCCTGACTTTGACCGCAAAGAGGATGATGCCAAGGAAGATGTAATAAGGTAATAATGGCCCGTAAAAGAAGAAACAAATTAAAAGTAAAGTGAACATATGCACATGTAAGTAGAAGTCCCCAGAACAGAACATTAACTAATATCCAGTTACCTGTGCTTTCTGCAATGGTGCCATCCGGCAGCAGAGCACTGCAGTGCACTTCATACAAATCTGTACGAAAATGCTTTTGTAATTGTTAGAACTGGAGTCATGATTAGAATTTAATATGAGTGATAATGTGGAGCCATCAATGATTAATCCATATTCCTGTTGTTCTGTCCATGCTCTGAAAATAAAAAAAAATAATGCTGTATTTGACTCTATTATACAATTCTATTTAGGAACCTTATTTCTTTTAAACTATAAGGAGGAGGATCTTCCATAAGTCATCATCAATCTGATTCTTAAACCTATACATTCTAAAGAAAAAACTGCCTCTAATAAAGGCACATCAGAGACTTTTCATCACATGTTTGAGACTCAAGCTGCCTATATAAATAACATTAAGTTCTAAATGGGATAAAAATAATGGACATTTAGTGGTCAGTCTCTATAAGAAACTGAAGGCGAATTTGGGAAATTACAGATCAAACTCTGATATAAAGACAAATCATTAGTCAATCTAAAAACTTCTTAACAATATAAGTAAAAGACAAAATGGCTTTGGGGTATACAGTCACAGAAGACCTTTTCCTAATATTTTTGCCTGAATGACATAAACTATCAGTAGACCAGACTTCTCAAATGTGATGGAGTACCTAAAATATATGGTGTTGATTAAAGAATACCATACAACAATATATGTTCATTAAATAAGTATAATTTTATACTTGATTAATGTTCTCAGCCATAGCCTTCCCATTAGAATCATCTGAGCAGTTTTGAAAAATTGCCCATGTGCCCTAGCTGGTTTGGCTCAGTGGACAGAGCGCTGGCCTGCAGATTGAAGGGTCCCAGGTTCTTTTCCAGTTAAGGGAATATGCCGGGGTATCAGGCTTAATCCTCAGTAGGGGGCATGCAGGAGGCAGCTGATGAATGATTCTTTCTAATCACTTGTCTATCTCCAGGCTCAATTCCCAGTATGGGGCGTGCAGGAGGCAGCTGATCAGTGATTCCCATCAATGATGTTTCTCTCTCCCTCTCCCTTTATCTCTGAAATCAATAAAAATATATTTAATAAAAATAAAATAAAAATTGCCCATATGTGAGGACTATCCCCAGATAAATTAAATCAGAGTATCTTGGGCAGGGCTCAGTTACATATACTGTATTAATGCTTTAAAAAGCTCTTCAGGTGGTTCTCATGCATAGCCAGGAAAGAAAAATGTAACCAGTGCCAAGTATTTAAGAAAAACATATGAGGGTAAAACTTACAACTGAGAAAATTCTACCAATTAACATTTCTTTATTTTTTTTACAATGAAGAAAAAACAATGATTAGTCAATGTTAGCTCAGGAAATTTTGGTTGCTATTTGAGAACCACTGCAGTGAACTAGACACAGCTGGATCTCATCATTATAAATTCACTTGTCTAACTTGATGCTTCTCAAAGTTTAATGTTAAAAGAATCTTGTCAAAATTTCTGGGAATCTTGTAGATTCTGATTGAATAGGTTTGGGGTGGGACATGGGATTTTATATTTCTAACAAGCTTCTGGTGTTCTATGGACCAAACTTTAAGTAGTGAGAGCCTAATATGCCTCATCTATCCTTTATGCCATATTTCTTTTATGTATATTGCTAACACCATAATATTTTGTACATATCCATATTTTGCTTCGTAATTTAATGACCATTTTTCACTAACTAAAGAGATATCATTCATGTGTTCACCTTCTTTGCTCCCCTACCCACAAAGCAGACTTAGTATACAGAAAACAGTGACTCAATAATCAATCAAGCAATATTTTTAAACATCAATTATATACAATGAAAAGAATTATTAATTACTCTTTCCTTGTAGAACAGAAAATCTCATTGGGATGACAAAAGCATACATGATGGACTATAACCAACCAAACAAGATATTAAATAGTCACTATCCAGTGATTGGGAAAATAAATACACAGGAAGAATAGTGGGTTCTTTGTGAGGTGTGATATCTGAAATGGAACTTGAAAGACAGGGCAGAAAGTGGTGTGTGGAGAGACTGTATCCTGCACTAGGAAAGCAAAATGAAAATGTCACTTGAAGCCTTTGGTGCAAACTGATTCTGTGGGTAATGGAGAACCACTTAAGGTTTCTGAGCAGGGACAAGATATAGGCAGTACTTCACATTTAAGGACCACTTGTCTGGCAGAGGGGCTTAAGGGACTTGAGGCATGGGTTGCTACAAAATTTGCTGTGGAGCACCGGTGGTGAAAATGAGAACATGAATAAGGCTTGGTGGCTGATCTAAAGTGGAAGGGACAAAGAAGCAGAAGCTGGCAGAAGTGATTCTAGGTCTGCCATCTATGTAACCTGGGGAATGACTGCACCCACACAACTCCAAACAGATGAGCCAGGAAGAGGAAATGTTCTGAGCTGAGAAGTGAAGGGTTCCACAAGCCCTGGCTTTTATAAAAGTGCTCCAGAGCTGCTGAATGGTGCTATGAACTGAACTGTGTCCCCTACCATGTCCTATTTTGAAACTCTAATCCTCAGGTGGTATTTGGAGATGGAGTCTTTGGGAGATACTTAGGTTTAAATAAATTCATAAGGGTGGGGCCCTTATAACAAGAGACACCAGAGCTTCCCCCCTCTCTGCAATGTAAGGACACAGTGTAAAAGCAGCTTTCTGCAAGCTAGAAAGAGGGACCATACCAGCTATGAGAAATTAGTTTCCACTGGATCAGCTATCCAGTCTATGGTATTTTGATATAGTAGTCCAAACAGACTAAGACAAACAGAAAAGTAAAATGCTTGTAATTTGGACTGCCTTTAATAAGTATCATTTGGTTAAAGGAAGAGAACTTTAATCATAAAAACCTGTTTATTCTCATTGATGCCCAAATATCATAAGAAAAACTGCTGTTTTAGAATTGACCATAGCCTCATGAATGTGTGGTATTCATTTCTAAAGTTTGTTTAAACAATGGAGATGAAGATGACAATATAGTATAGTTGTTAAAGATATAGCATGGCCTCTGGAATTGGACAGACTTATTCCACCTCAAAGCCTTAGTTTCCCTATCTATAAGTTGAAAAAAATAATATTGCCTTACTAGTTTGTAGTGAAGATTAAATGAGAATCCTATCTAATAAAAGAGAAACATGGTAATTAGCGTACATCCGCTACCCATCCCATTGGCTATCAGGGCGATATGCAAATTAACTCCCAGCCAAGATGGCGGCCGGCAGCCAGGCAGCTTGAAACTAACATGAGGCTTGCTTGCTTCAGTGACGGAGGAAACCAATGCTCCCCGCCTGCCTTGCCGGCCTCTGAGCTTGCAGTTTGAAACATTGTTACAAATATAGAAGCTAAACAAAGCCCCAGAAATCTGCTTTCAGTGAGCCGAGCCGGGATCTCAGAGCTGGAGTTGATACAGTGTTTCGATTATAGAACACAAACAAACCAGATACCTGCTTTCAGCAGCAGAGGCCTCAGAGCTGGAGCCAGAGCTAAAGCTGGCCCAGAATAAAAAAAAAAGAAAAAAAGGAGCAGTTGGGAGCTTCAGTCACCTGCCAGCCTGAAAACAGCCCTCAGCCCCTCACCCAGACTGGCCAGGCACCCCAGTGGGGACCCCAACCCTGAAGGGCGTGTGACCAGCTGCAAACAGCCATCATCCCCTCACCCAGGCTGGCCAGGCACCTCAGTGGGGACCCCCACCCTGATCCAGGACACCCTTCAGGGCAAACCAGCCGGTTCCCACCCATGCACCAGGCCTCTATCCTATATAGTAAAAGGGTAATATGCCTCCCAGCACCAGGATCAGCAGAGCCGTGAGGTCTCCTGGCACCGGGATCAGCGTGACAGGGGGCAGCGCCCAAAACCCCTGATTGCCCTGCGGCTCTGTATGTGACAGGGGGCGGTGCCCCAGCCCCCTGATCGGCCCTGCTCTGTGCCTGATAGGGGGGAGCTCCCCAACCCCCTGATCGCCCTGCAGCTCTGTGTGTGACAGCATGCAGTGCCCCAAACTCCTGATTGACCCTGCTCTGTGCATGACAGGGTATGGAGCCCCAACCCCCCTGATGGGCCCTGCTCTGTGTGTGACAGGGGGCAGCGCCCCAACCCCCTGATCCGCCCTGCTCTGTGCATGACAGGGGGTGGCGCGGCACCTTCCCCATCGACCCTGCCTTGAGTATGACAGGAGGCGGTGCCCCAACCCCCCCAATCAGCCCTACCCTGAGCGTGACTGAGGGTGGCATCACAACCTCCCAATCCGCCCTGCTCTGTGCATGACAGGGGGCGGCGCCCCAACTCCCCAGTCGGCCCTGCTCTGAGCCCGACCAGGGGCTGCACCTAGGGATTGGGCCTGCCCTCTGCCACCCGGGAGCAGGCCTAAGCCAGCAGGTCGTTATCTCCCAAGAGGTCCCAGACTGCGAGAGGGCACAGGCTGGGCTGAGGGACCCCCTTGCCCCCCAAGTGCACAAATTTTTGTGCACCAGGCCTCTAGTAATTATATAAAGTGCTTAACACTGTTCCTAGAACAAAGGGGGTGCTCAAGAAATGAAAAACAGTATTATCTAGGGGTCTTTGAATTTAGTGTAAGCACATCCTAAAGAGGAAATCAATTTCCTTATAGCCAAGGTAAATTCCAATAATTGGTTCAGAAAAGGCTAAGCCCTAGTCAATGATAATTCTAGAAAAATATATCATTGAATTATTGTGGATCAGTGGCTTTCCTTGAGATCGGAGGGTTCCACAGTTCTTCATAAGCAGCTGGGAATCCAAGTGTCCATGTCAACAAGAATTTGGTTACCTTCGGAATTCTGTGGTATGAAAATCAACACAAAAAATGGCTCCAGGGTCTCAAAATATATGGAAACTATTACAGAGATCAGTTTTATTACATTCAGTTTAATAGACTGTGAAAAGATGTATTTTTTTATTAACATGGACCAGGGCAGAATAGCAATGCTAAATACCCAGGCCCTAAATATCGAGAAACTGAACTAGTTTCATAAACCTTGAGAAGTGCATGGTTTTCTTTTAAACTAGAGGTAGGAAGTACCAAATAATTTCAACTGGGCCATTAGCCACATCCCCAGGGAATGTTGTGTGTGTGTTTTAATTACTCAAAAAAAGCTTCATTTTTAAATTTATTTAGCTTTCTGACTCTGTGCTTGTGCCTTCAACACTTTCACAACGATTTTCTGCTCCTCAATAAGGAAAGCACGCTTGATCCTGTCACGGACACATTTAGTACACATGGATCCACTACAGGCCCTGCTGATGTGTTTTTTTTTTTGTTTTAGACAACCTCATTAGAACTTTAGGCCTCACAGTACAAACTCTGAGAAGTTGGCCTGGGCACATACCATATGCAGATTTTGGTGCTTTCCCAACCTTCTTGGTATAAAGGTAAACAATTCTATTACCAGAGGTTCAGGACAGTCTCGTTTTGTTAGAGGCTGTATTGTAGGACAGCCTCCGACTGTATGTCAAATGCTGGACCATGGTGAATACCTAAACTAAAGTCACCATCCCCGGAAGAGGCCTCAGGGAATGTTTCTAATTTATAAGGATAAAATACCTGCAAACAAAGAATGATAAATAAATAAACAAAGCCTTCTGCATAAAAAGCTGTGATTTATATCTGTACCAATGCCTAAATATAAGAAACTGGTGCACTTTCTTACTTTTTAAGGCTTCTAGTACTTTTAGGAAATTCATGCAGCAACTTCTTACGGTATTCTATCAACAATTCATGTAATCGATCTTCTTTCCTTTCACTTTCTTCAATGGTATTTGTGGTCAATTCTAAGAGCTCAGTGCTGGTTTGGAAAAGGCGGCAGGCATAGCAGGTGGATTTGGCTGTCTCCATCTTATCCCCAGTAAGCACCCAGACTTTCAGACCTGCTGCATGCAGAGCTTCAATGGTCTCAGCTGCTTGATCTTGTAGCCTGAGAACACAAAGGAAAACTCGTTATCCTCAAAAATTCCCAACAGAGATTATGCAAGAAGGCTTGTTAAAGAGAATATTTTTATAATACACAGCATTTCTGGAGTCCTGACATGTTATCACAGTTGGTTTTCTTATGTACCCTCTACTCTGAGAGTGTTCTCTCTGGCACAGTTTTACTTATTAAAGTGAATTTCAAAGAATGAGATTTGGACAAATTCATGACATCTCTTGATATAACTGATATCCTATGGCAGAATTGAGAATCAGCATTCTTAGCTAAAATATTCAGAAATTCACCAAGCATTCTTATTCATTGTCACTTTAGCATATTAAATTTTATATTATGTCTCACCACACAGATAGTTAACATGGTTTAAAACAGAAAGGGCCGAAACCGGTTTGGCTCAGTGGATAGAGCCTGCGGACTGGAGGGTCCCGGGTTCGATTCTGGTCAAGGGCATGTACCTGGGTTGTGGGCACTTCCCCAGTGGGGGATGTGCAGGAGGCAGCTGATCGATGTTTCTCTCTCATCGATGTTTCTGGCTCTCTATCTCTCTCTCTTCTTCTCTGTAAAAAATCAATAAAATATATTTTTTAAAAAATTGAATTTATAAAAAAAATAAAATAAAAATAAAACAGAAAGGGACAAAGACATTCTAATAAGATACTGAGGGAAGTTAGTGAATATCATCCCTGAGGAGCTTTAAGAACAGAAAAGCCAACCATCCTGAAAGAGAATCCTATATAGTAAAAGAGAAACATGCAAATTAGCCATCCCTCTGCTATGCTCAAGCCACGCCCACAAGCCAATCAGGAGTGAGTATGCAAATTAACCCAACTAAGATTGCAGTGGCCATGGAGCTGGAGAGAGCAGGAGGCTTGGGTTGCCCACAGTGATGGAGGAACCCAAGCTTCCTGCCTGCCCTGGCTGGCCTGGGC